GAGAGAGAGAGAGAGAGAGAGAGAGAGAGAGAGAGAGAGAGAGAGAGAGAGAGAGAGAGAGAGAGAGAGAGAGAGTACTATTCGAATAGTACACACGTGCGTACTATTTGAACATGCGTACTATTTGGATTTTCGGGAGCTACTGCGAAAAATCGAGTTTTCCAGGGAAAGTTGAATAGTACATACGTGCGTTTTGTTCGGGGGAAGACTGTAGGCCGAGGGCCTCCTGCTTTGCACACAAGTTCAAAACAGACTCAAACAAGCCCAACACCGGTTGAAAACAGAATCAGACAGACTCAATGGACCTGCAGACTAAAACAGAATAAAAAGAGAGCTCAGACAGACTCACACAGAATCAATCAAATCAAACAGACTCAAACAGACTCAAACGGTCCCGTGACAGACTCAAACAGACTCAAACGGTCCCGTGACAGACTCAAACAGACTCAAACGGTCCCGTGACAGACTCAAACAGACTCGAAACTTTTACTAAGAACAGAATTAGACGGACTCGAACAGACCTACAGACTCATAACAGACTCAAAATAGAATCAAACAGACTCCTTTCGAATCCGTCATGGACACTCATTGTCCCTCCTCTTTCCCAACTTCGTTCAGCTAGTCGGGTGGTATTGATATCAGCAGCCATTCTAAAGCAAATTCACGATATCAAGGATTTCCTTTTCCTGCTGACCGCACAAAAACAAAGAAGGCAAAAAAAAACGATTCAAACAGACTCAAAAAACAGAACCAGACAGACTCAAATGGGCGCGCAGACTCAAGCAGACTGAAAATGGACTCGAACAGACTTAAGAATCAAAACAGAATTATTCACAATGTAATGTGAGGAATCAGATGAGCGTCATCGTCGCTTCACAAACAGCTTCCCCGAATGACAAAAATAGCAGGAGATTTTTTTGGAACTTGGGTGCAGCTCAGGGAGCTGAGCCCAGCTTATCGGGCCACTGGGTCTGAAAAGGGCCTGTGGCCAAAGAAGCAAGCTCCGCTCGGCACCCCACTCGGGGCATCTGCACAGCCAGTTGGCCGGGCAGCCTTCCTGGCAGATTTGGTCGGCCCGTCCTCCCCGCCAAACAGCCTAGAAAAAAAAACTATTATTGGAAAATCTCCTATTATATATCCTTCATAGAGACATCGGGCAGCAGCCTGCCCATGCGTTCTTCCATCAAGGTGGACAGTGAAAAAATCCTCTGCCATGGAACCATTTTCTAGATTATTCTTGGACATTCTGTTTCATGAACTTTCATCAAGCGTACATACTGGGTTGTAAAAATCTGTTTCATCAAGTTCGTATACCGCTGCAACCGGTTGTACTGTGGTAAGTAGCAGAGTAGATCAGGCAATACAAACATTAGAATACATTTGACTGAATCTGTACTCGATTGGCCAGATGCCAAAAAGTCCAAGTGTGATTATGTGCCCTAACAACTTAGAAGTAGAAATTTTTCACTGAAAAATCTGTACTTGATTTTGGCCAGATACCAAAGAGTCCAGGTGTGATTATGCCTGTAGAAGTAGAACTTTTTGGGCACGTTACCTAAGCGTCTTGAGCAACAAGGAACAGAAGGGCAGCAACTGCATTTGTTCTGTACTCGAACAGACGCTTCACATCTAATCAATCGCCAGAGTGGAGCCAAAGGTGCAACAGGGAAAAAAGCAGCGGCCTATCTGATTCAATTTTTTAAGCATCGTTGCAATATCACTCCTTTGCTGATAGGCTTTTCTACAAATTTATTATTTCCTTTTAACCGGTACCACCGCCTACTTCCACTAAAGCAGAACTTAGACGGACTAATAATGACGGTGGTAATAAGTACTAAATATTAAATAACCAAAAGACTGAATATATTGTTTATGCGTGGAAAGGCCATACCAGGCACTCCAATGAAAATAGGAAGACTTGCATCCTTTCTTTCTCAATGCCAGGGCATCCACCCATGCATTATTTTGGATATAGAAGGGCCCTTTGCGCCCTACTTCTCACTTTTTTCTTTTAATCCCCCCTCGTGTTCCATGGTATTCACTGTGGAAGTAAACTTACATACCCTTTAACTTTGGAGTGCTTGTGTGTCACAGTGTGTGTTACAAGTTATAACTATCACAGCGATAACCCCTTCTCCAGCCAGATGCGTCCGTATGATATTTCAAACAGTCTTCCTACGTGACATTTTAGTATTCCACAGTGTGATAGCTAAAAAAGAGTCAAAATCTGAAAGTCATTATGCTTTTTTTGTGGAAGAGAGAGGAGGGGGGTGGGGGGAGGGCGTGTTGCATACACAAGAGATGGTTAACGGAGGGCCGAAAATTCACCGTTTTTGCCATATCACCACAAGCAATATAGTGGAGAACTTTGAAAACAATCGATGTGGGCTCATAGCCTCGGGGGGGGGGGGGGGGGGGGGGGGGG